TGAATAACCGGACATTCAGTCAAGGAACGACAGACCGTGAGAGACGTTATAACGACAGGCAATATTAATGTAAATGGGGGAGTGATAAAACAAAGGCACAAAATATTTAGAAGCAAATGTAGAGCATACAAAAAAGGTAGGAAATATGAGTACAAAGAAGAAAAAAATGATAGCAATAAAATAATGGTACCAATAATAGCAATAATAATATAATAAATAATAATAATATAATAATAATAAATAATAATAATAATAACATAATAATGTTAATAACATAATGATGATACCAATAATAATAATAATAATAATAATAATAATAATAATAATAATAATAATAATAATAATAACAAAAACAGTAATAATAATGATGATGATGATGATGATGATGATGATGATGATGAATGATGATAATAAAATCAACAAACAATAACAATGAAATATATCCCTTCCCGTTCTCCTCTAGCTTTCATTCCCCTTCAATCCGGCTGCTTTAGGGAGACATTAACAAAATAATCGTCGTTTCCCAGCAGTTGATTAGGCCTACACCACAATATTTTTATATAGAATTTCTCTAACGTTGACACAACCCTTCCGTCTAACCTGTTTACATACTTCTCCGTCTCCTCCTGTATTCCATTCACACATTTCCTATACCGGCTAATAAAATACCAACGAAACTAACACGGATTCGGTTTGATAAGCGCCCTCTACCGGCCGTAAACGACTTCCATTCTAAAGACGCCAACACTTGTACCAACCCGGAACAAGACTGAAACATGTTCTGATTCAGTGATCGCCAGAAGGCAACGCATAAAAGACACGTTCTTGTTCAATGATCTCCAGGATGAAGTGAATAAGAATGAAAAGCTCGAATGAAGCGAATAAAAACATGTTTTTACTCAATGATCGCTAGAATGAAGCGCATAATAAACACGTTCTTATTCAGTGATCACCGGATTGAAGCGAATAAGAATGAAACACGTTCTGATTCAGTGATCGCCGGAATGAATCGGATAAGAATGAAACACGTCCTGATTCAATTACCTTCAGAATAAAGCGAATAAGCAACACGTTCTTATTCAACGATCGCCACAATGAAGCGACGCCAAAAAAAAAGAGAAGAAATTCAAGCCACTGACCGCACGGAAGGCGACCTGCGGCGACGGAAAAGGATCGCAGAACACTCACAAGAATCCTGTCCGAAACGTTCGCGCTGTTCTGCGGTGACCACACACAACCCAAAAACGTTCCGGACGGGTGAACAGGCACCGCCCTCGCGTCCGTTGCCGGGTGAAACTGAACGTAAATATGAACGTTTCGATATCGTAACTCCCCCCCCCCCCGTCATCGTGTTCCGACCCTCCGTTGACGCGCGGACGAACGATTTCACAAGTTAATTTGCGTCAATTACGAACATTACCGTAAATAACGCGGCTATGGCTGTTGCTGATTTGAAATGGAGCCATAAAACATAATGGTGCAGCAGGACTATAAGTAATTAAAATAAATGTGTTAATCAATGCAAATTTGTATGTGCTGAGGCAGAAAATTGGACGAATATCCGATTACAGTGTTGATTTTTCCTTTGTTTCCAAATGAGATAGTACTTAATTCGCGGAGACTATAAAAGATACGTATTTTTTTTCTGTTTTTCTTAATGAAAGTACGAAAAGGAAGAGCGGTTGAATAAACCAATCTCCTAAAGAGGCATGGTGATGATAACAACAATAATGATAATAATGATAATAATAATGGTAACAACAACAAAAGACAACAAAACAAAAACTCCGACAAATCAACAACAAAAATAACGATGATAATGAAGATAATGGCAATAGCAATAGTAATAACAATAACAATAACAATAATGCCAATAACTAATAATAAAATAAATCATAATAGCAAAATAATAATAACCATGCCAACAACAAAACAATAACTATAAAAAATAATGGAAATAAAATAAAACCAACACTCCAAATATGGCGACTGCAGAAGAGTTGCCAATTACCACCATAACACATTTTCTTCCATGATCCATGACAGCCTAATTTGTCGAGCGCGTTCCTTCAACAAATTTATGACAGCTTCTTTGCTTATTTGTTTTTGCTTAGAAAGAGACACATTCGGGAGAGAGCGTGAATGTGAGTGATGGATGAGATGAGTGTGTGTGTGTGTGTGTGTGTGTGTGTGTGTGTGTGTGTGTGTGTGTGTGTGTGTGTGTGTGTGTGTGTGTGTGTGTGTGTGTGTGTGCGTGTGTGTGTGCGTGTGTGTGTGTGTGTGTGTGTGTGTGTGTGTGTGTGTGTGTGTGTGTGTGTGAGTGTGTGTGTGAGTGTGTGTGTGTGTGTGTGTGTGTGTGCGCGTGCGTGCGTGTGTGCGCGTGCGTGTGTGCGCGTGCGTGTGTGCGCGTACGTGTGCATATATGTACAAGTGTGTATCTCTGCAATGGCATGCAACGGGTGAAAGGAATCTGCAAGACATAAGCACCGACCATTAAATC